AAGCTTGGAACACAAGCATTGATCTTCAGCGATGAACTCTGATTCTCCAGAATGTTTGGTTGTCCTTGCTCCTAGTAGTAAGGCCTCCTGGCCCCTAGTAGCTTCTTGTTACTAGTAGCGATGCCAGGAGCCCCTAGTAGCGTCCTTGCTCCTAGTAGTAAGGCCAGGAGCCCTACTAGCACTCTTATGACATAATCAACTTGTGGTCCTCGGTGCCACGCGACCAGATTCAGCTCTTCCCAACGAGCTTCGTGGCCCCTCCAGCGCAGCAGGCGCGTCATGCTGCGCCGTGGCCCGCGCGCGCGCACGTCTTCTTTTCTCCGTGCAGGTTTCCACGAGGTTCACCGTGGGGCTTTTGGAAGACCAGCTCCATGAAGCTCACATCCCCCGGAAGAGCTCCGAGTGGTTTCCCGTCCAAAGACGAGTGTCTTCCCTCGCCAGAAGCAGACAACGGGAGCCCTTGGAGTCGCTGGCCTGGCGGCCGTGGCCTCGAAGTGTAGAGGGGTCCTCTTTTGAAGAGGATGGTTAGCTTCTTTTAAGGCACGCAGAGCAGCACACAATCAGGGGGTTTCTGATGGGTTCTAGTACTAGTCTCTTTCTCCAAACAGTTTGCTGTTAGGGGTTCTCAATTCTTTCTTAAGATGTGTCCGCCCTTTCTGTCACTGCAGGTGTCCGCCCATTTCCGCTGGCCATGCAGCATTTCAATTCGTTTGTCTTTAAAGTGATTTCTTTACTTTTGTCTCCCAGGTTCGGTGCCTGCACTGCTGGTGTCCGCCCTTTCCGCTGGCCATGAAGCATTTCTATTCATTTGTTTCCCATGTGGTTTCTGCACTTCCCCAAACAGGTTACTGTTGGGGGTTCTAAATGCTTTAAAAGAGTGTCCGCCTTGCTGCCGGACAGCGTGTCTGCCTTCCGTCTGGCTTGTATCAGTTGGTCTCCCTTCTTGTTGGTCACTGTGTCCCTCTTCTTGTTGGTCACTGTGTCCGCCTTGTCTCCCTTCTGTTTCCTTTTGTCTCCCT